CTGAATTAATTCAGCTTTGAACCTAAAAATTTACAGCCAGTTTTGAAAGAGATGTATCCTTGCTCTGGAGTATGTTTCTGAATATGTTAAAGCTGTAATGAAATGCTTCTTCTAATCATGTGGTTATTAAATTTAAAAAAACTTTTTTAAGTAAAAAAACAATAATTCTTCAAAGCATAAAAATTTGCTCCTTATTAATTACTAGATGTGAAAAACATCACTGTTGAAACCTAATTGATGACTTTATATCCATGCTCAGGTGTCAAGTATCTCATATAGTAACTGACTGTGACTAGTAATAATCAGGTATATAGAGATTAGAAATGCATGTGCAAACATCTAAGTATTAATTGCATTAAAAATGAATTTTACTGTATGAAACTGTGTATTTTAATAATGAAATGGAGATCTCTTTTAAAGGTTAAAAACCTCATTCAGTTTTATGGCTTATAGAGTTTATACTGAGTACAATATTTATAACTGTATTAATTCAACTGTAAATCTAAAAATTTGCAGCCAATTTTGAAAGAGATGCATCTTAGCTCTGGAAATCGTTATTGAATATGTCAATGCTGTTGTAATATAATGCTTCTTCTAATTATGTGGTTATTAAATAAATAATTTTTTTAAAAAAGAGAGGCTCCTATGATATTTTGACATGAATAGGTGATAGTACCTGCCCTGGCCTGACTTGCCCCTGGTTAGTCTAGTCCTGGAGAACTGCACTGTATGGGGCCATATGAAGAAATTCCCCTCCGTATTTGCAGCGAATTCTGCAAATCTGGTAGGAGGATTCTATTTGGAGTCATGAGCCTCATTTTCCTCATTACTTCATCACATAAATATAATTAAATAGCTTTATTTTATTATTTAATTTTGTTTGGTTTGGCTTTTGTCCGGTAGCCCAGGCTGGCCTGGAACTCACAATCCTCCTGTCTCTGCTCTGAACTGCTGAGATTACAGGTGTGGCCCACCATACCCAGCTTAATAACTGTGTGCGTGTCATGTGTGTGCGTGTGCATGTGCAGGTGTACTTACTGTACAAGCGTGCCTGGAGACCAAAGGTACTTACTGTACAAGCTTACTGTATTTACTGTACTTACTGTACAAGTAAGTACAAAGATACTTACTGTACAAGCCTGCCTGGAGACCTAAGTCCAACCTCAGGTATCTTACTCTATTGTTGTGACCTTATTTCTTTTTTGAGGCAGGGTCTCTCCCTGGTCCTTGGGCTTATTATTTTGGCTGACTAGCTGACAGGCACAGCTCCAGAATCCATTTGTCTCTACCTTCTCAGTGCTGGGGTTACAGGTCTCTGACACTAGACCCAATCTTTATGTGGGAGCTACAGATCCAAACTCAGATCCTCTTTCTTGTATACCAAGGGTTTTACCCACTGAGCAGTCTTCCAAGCCCTTGGTTATATTTTTAAACAATAAAATAATCTTTAAATTCTTTTACAAGTTGAGGTGCCGACCAAGGAAAAGCACAGCTGAGCATCACAATTCTGAGCATGCACATCAGGTGCAGTCCACCAACAGACAGGGCTGCAGAGCAGGACTTGGCCTGCCCAACGTGCTCAGCCAAGGTTGCTAACTGATCTGGAAATTTTCCTCCACATGTTCCCAAAGAAGAGGTGAGAAAGCTGAGCCACCAAATCACATCAACTGAGATAAGAAAGACTACATTCAATGATGCTGGATCCTCAGATTTAATAAAGAAAAGTTCTTGGAATAACTTTAAAATGGTGATTTTTTTTTCTCCTGCTTTAGTCCATTTTTAACTTTCTTAGAGAAAGAATCCTGTTCAGGTTTGTTTGGTTGTATTTTAAATTCACCTATGTTTTAAAAGGACAGGGAAAAAAAGGACAAGGGAATCAGAATCCCAAGGAGCAGTTCTCACTGGTTACATCCTGTTTTGATTGAGGCCACTTGGGTTGGGATGGGGTGATGTGGAGTATGACCAGTTTTGTGAAGGTGCTGGAAATGTGGTGGTGACAGGCAAGATCAAACAGGTCATCAGGCTCTCTCTGGGTCATGCCTTTGGGTCTTTTTTTTGTCTCTGATCACTTAACTCTTGTCATTCTAGAGTTCTAACATGGGCAGGAGAGAAGAGGAAGAGGATGGACCATCACCCCATGAAGAACCTTTCCACACGGCTCTTCAGTTCTGGCTCTTCCTAACAGTAACACCCCCTCCCTGCTTTCCTTCCAACCAGATAGACAACGGCTGCTAAGATGATGTGTTTTACAAAATAAAGTTCTTCAAAATAAAAAGCTTATCCTGTCTTCCTCATGGCGTCCACTTGAGTCTGCTGGAACAGTCAGCAAACTATAACATCTTCCACAGTTTGAAAATGAGTAGTTCAAAAGCATCTTCTGAGGTATCTTCATTTCATGACAAAACACAACTAAAACAGACAAACCATTGGCTTATTAACCATACTGACATACCATTAGAGTGACCACTTCCTCTCCACTCTGAATGTCCCATACTTTGGCTGTTGTGTCCATGCTCCCAGTAGCCACCACGGTGCTTTGAGGGTTGAATGACAGACACATCTACATCACATGAAATGCAAGAAACTTTAGAAAGATGATATTTTGGATTCTTAACTGTATGTGGAAACTCTTGAAATTACCTTAGCAGACTTAGGCTTAATTTTTTGCACAAGGATACACAAAACCATCAGTTATTAGAACTCCAGGTAAAATCCTAAAGCAAGCTCATCCTAAAAGAGGCTTTGTTCTCCTCGTGACACCTGCTCTGCCATGACCTCCTTTGGCACTTTGCAAACCACAGAAAACCAGGAACCAAAGCAGAACCCATCTCCACCGCCCTTGAGTATCATGCTAGGGGTGCTCCATGCCCTTGAGGCTGTTATAAGATGTGATTCAGAACTGACTGAGGGCAAGAGCCTCTCAACAAAGAAAGCTGTCTAGGTTAGTTGTATAAGTCTGAATCCTAATGATATGCTCAAAACAATGACCCTAAATATTCCACATGATTCACAAAAGCAATTGTAAAGCTATTGTAATAACCTCATCAACTCTCATTGAGTCAAGTCTTTAAAGATAAGCACTGAGAAATGGTAAGTAAGGCTGTGTAACACACATATTTATCATGTCACATGACTACTTAGTTTATACAGGCTACTGTTCCTTAACAGTATCTTCTAGCTGTTAAAACTTAAGTGATGATGGGGCTGGAGAGATGGCTCAGAGGTTAAGAGGACTGACTGCTCTTGCAGGGGACCTGGGTTCAATTCCCGGCACCCACATAGCAGCTAACAACCATCCATAACTCCAGTTCCAGGGAATCTGACATCTTCTTCCGACCTCTGAGGCATTGCACAACATGGGTGCACCTGCACACATGCAGGCAATACAGTAATACACATAAAATAAAAATTAAAAAATCAAAAAACCAAAAATTTAAGTGGTGAGAATCATGTGTCACCATGTGCAATCTATGTAGACTAAAAATACTGGGTTAAAATTTGTAATTTAAATATCAAAGTAAACCTCTACACTCATGAAGCATTCTAAAAAGAAAGAACAAATAAAGCATCCATGACATTAAATATACTCACTATTTCTGCCTTATGGCCCCTGAAGGTGTGGTAACATTTCCCCGTTTCTGCACTCCATAGTTTACAAGTCTTGTCAAAGGACCCGGTGGCAATTTTGTCACTGAAATTTTTAAAAGTCTGGATTTTAAAAACAAATTAAGGCACAGTGTATGATGATACTCTGGACTAAGACTAGCAGTGTGAGACACAGACGTGGCTCTACTTCACACGTTTCACTGAAGACAATAAATTTTAAGTTTCCTTTGATGAATAAAAAAATAAAGGTTTAATTTTTTAATGGTATCAAGTGACATGTATAATACTAATGATGTGACACTAGAGATATTACTGTTCTTTATAATTACAATTTTATGTTAGCATAATAAAGATTCAGTTTAGAAAATTAGTAACATGAATATCAATAACATTGTAGTCTTATCTGTATGAACACAGAAAAATTCTGTTATACATGTGCAAAATGATAACACTGAATATTTGAATTCAATGTTTAAACTATTGAATATTTAAATAGTTCAATAATGAATTTAAATGGATCAAAATCATAGAGATAAATCCCATTAATCACATGGCTGACAAGATTTTGAGAAGTGAGACACTGAGTGACTCCTTGAGAAAATAGTACTGAATTATTGCTGTTATGAAAGGATTTAGATAGGATAGTCAAAGGCTTGAATCCTTTGGGCTAGAGAGATGGCTTAGCTGGTAATGTGTTTGCTGCACAAGCATGAAGACCTGCGTTCAATCCCCAAAATACAAACACAAAAAAATCCAATGTAGAGTGTCTGCAATCCCATTGGGGTTTGGGGGCCAATCAGTTGAGGCTACTTGGCAAGCTCCAGGCCAATGAAAGACCCTGTCTCAAAAACAAGGTAGATGGCTCCTGAGGAATGAGACCTGAGATTGACCTCTGGCCCCTTTTGTGCCACGCATGTGCATACACACACACACACACACACACACACACACACACACACACAACCACACACACACACACACACATACCCCTACTTATTATTTGATGATTGTCTTAAACTCATTCTCCTGAAACATAGCCACCACAAATTTCAATGGAAAGCCCTTCTTCAGCTCATAAATTAGTCCTAAGACTGGGATACCTATTTCCATAATCCAGTGAGTGAATGAGTGGATTTTCATCAGGGGAATTCAATAGAAGGGCCAGAACATATGCTTCACTCCAAGGAACTCTGTTCTCAGGCAGATACCCACAAAAATACCATGTCTGTCAGACAGAATGCTGAAGATTCAGAAAAGCAGCAAAACAATGCCATTTATTATTTCAATAAAATTTTTACTTCTACAAATTAGGATAATAGAGTATTATAAAATTATCTCTCTATAATATAAAAATGCATACATCAAGTTAAATTTTATGAAATTTAATTCTATCATTAATCAGTTTAAAGTAGCAATTTAAGTTGATTGTGCCATCATAATTACTTCATTTTGGAAGCACTGCATTTTTAATATATAATGACATAAGACACCTGGATATCAATTATTTTGATTGTAGTATAAATGTCTACTCAAAGTACAGCCAATTTTATAGAGTCTACCTACTCTGTTTACCACTCTGTCAACAAAGTCACCATGCCTCATGAACAGATGATGGTCTCTGCCTCCTCACTTGGCCGTGACCCCTTCTGTCTGACAGACCAATCCTTATAAAAGGTACAATCACTGCTCCAGTGCCCTGTTCATAATCCTTTGTGAGCAGCTCAGTCCTGCGGAGCAGAATTTGTCCTCTACAGAACGCGCTGACCTTGCCCCCATGTTCTTCTGCAGGTAACAGTTACCTCGGAGAGAACTGGCTGCTGGGTGGCCTGGTGAACCGCCAACTTAAACTCCCCAGATGCATGGCACCAAAACCCAAAACATCTTGAGCACTGACATGACGTCATGGCGGAAACTTCCACCTGATGTGATCCGTGCAGCTAAAATGCAGATTCACTGAAAATACTGTATTAGATTACTTCAGGCCATGTGCATAAACTGTAAACGGGACTGAGACCTAAGTGATTTTCCTGTTTCGACTTGGGCCCCATTCCCAAGATATCTCATTATATATGAAAATAGTCCAAGACCCAAGGAAATCAGAAATCGGAAACACCCTTGGTTTTAAGCATTTTGAATAAAGGAAACTCAACTTGTATTAATAACAACAACCACAAAAATCCCCAGCTGCTGCTATCTACTCACCCTGGTGCTCCCTGCTCCTCCACTCTCAGGTTTAGGCTTCAATCTCAGTCACCCTGAGAGGAACTTCACCTAGGAGAACTCTCACTGGTCTCCCCTGCCTTAGGTAGTAAACCACTTACTGTTTTGTTCTGGTCATGGCGCAATAGTAAATGAGCCAGAGTCACTGAACCAGCTTCATTAATGGAAAAAGTCATTTTAAAGAATCAATTAGGAGAAAAGATACATTCTTTAATTTTTTTTTACCGAAATACATACAAATATACACACATGTGCAATCTTATGACAAAAAGTCAAGGCCTTTGAATTAACTGTGCCAAACTGGCACAAGTGGGCAAACTCATTACCTGTGTTACAGAAATTTTATTGAATCTCCATAATTCTTTCTTTTCTTTAAAGCAGGATGAGAGTGACAGCTCAGTGAAAAATGGTGCCTGTTGCCAAGCCTGACCACCTGAGTTGGATCCCCGGGCCCCACATGGAGGAGAGGGCTGACTCCCACAAGTTGTCCCTAGACCTCCACGTACATGTCTTCGAAGGTGCACACACACAAATTTAAAATGTAATACAGAGGCTGGAGAGACAGCTCAGTGGTTAAGAGCACTAACTGCACTTGCAGAAGACCCGGATTCAATTCCTAGCATCCACATGGCAGCTAACAACCTTCAGTAACTCCAGTTCCAAGGGATTGGAGGCCCTCTTCTGACTTCCACAGGCATTGCACAACATGGGTACACCTACCTGTATGCAGACATTACACTTGTGCTGGATAGCTTTAGTGTCAACTTGACACACCTGGGTTGAGGAAACCTCAATTGGGGAATTTCCTGCATTGGACTGGCCTGAGGGAGGGCCCAGCCCACTGTGGGTGGTGCCACCCCTGGGCAGTTGGGCCTGTGTTGCATAAGAAAGCAGGCTGAGCAGGGGCCAGGGGAGCAAGCCAGTAAGCAGTGTTCCTCCATGGCCTGTGTTCCAGCTCCTGCCTCCAGGCTTCTGCTCTGAATTCCTACCTTGGACTCCCTGATGAACTGTGATCTGAGAGATATCAGACAAATAAACCCTTTCCTCCCCAAGTTGGTAGTGGTCAGAGTGTTTTGTCACAGCAAAGGAGAGACAAACTAAGACAACACTCATACACATAAAAAAAATAAAATGAAATACAAAGCTTAAAATAGGACAAGAAATTCAAAGAATTTACAAACACTGTGAGAATACTGGGTGCGGAACAATGTATGCTGTAACGAAATGCTGATCTTACCCACAACTTCATTTAGGGATATTTTCAAGCATTTACCTTACCTGTTTGCATAGAAGACAACAAATTCCTTTCATGACTCCACATCATTAGTTTAGGCAATATTTTGAATTCTTTCAGTAGTCTAAGAAATTAAACTGCATGCTAATTTCTGTGATTACAATTGAAAGCACAGGTCTGCAGACATACAGCTACCCCTTGATAAACAGAGGATGTCACCACGGGAACAGTTCACACTGGTGAAGTTGCTACAAACACACAGGGTGCCACGGGCATCAGCAATATGCCATGGGTAAAGACAAAAAAAATTGCTTAATGTGCTGAGTCAGCTAACCAGAGGTTGGTTTGAAAATGATTCTGCTGCTCCTGGCATTGCTATTTAGCATGTTAGCATAAGGTCTATTTTTCTACCCAGTAAGACTGAAAATTAACATATAAATGAAGAAAACTATGTTCCATAGATGTATGTCAGATCTTCCAGATCCGCCAGCACAGCGCTGTAGACCTCAGTAAGAGGGGACTCCAAAAGTTAAGGAGCCAGCCTTGTTGAACCTGACCTCCAGCCCTCCCCCCTCTATATAGTGATCCTGGGAAGGGTATTTCAGCTTCATATTCTTATGAAAATAATACCTATCCCAAATGCTTATTGAAGGAGATATTAAAAAGGTTTCCAAAGCACATAGGAGCTCCACATATTTTTAACCTGTCTTCTGCTCTCCATAGATACTTAGTAGATGGAGGGGTAGAATGCTGAGGGGATGAAGGAACACACCCGTAAGGATTGTTGAAGGTTACGGCATAGACCACGTTCCTGTGGCCCTCCAGGGTGTGCAGCTCCTCTCCAGATGCAGTGTCCCAGAGCTTGCATGTCCGATCATAGCTTCCTGTGATAAAGCTGACAGAAGGAACGTGAACACTCGACACTGTGAGGAGGGCAGGCAGTGGTTCATAAACACTTCATGTTTTGCTTGCAGGATAATAGCTACTTTATTATGCTTTGTAATGATGGAAATCATACATCAGGAAAAAAAGGCAGCATCTAAATCCTTTGACTTAGAAGCCTACTAAAGAGAAAATCTACTAATAATGGCAATATTCTTATACATTTTATACCATTAAACTACGTGTATCATAATCATCAACTTTTGTGAAACTATAAATTTACCTCTACAATATTCAGACCAGACTTTGGCATTATCTTGGTCTCCCTCCCCCACAGTCTGTACACCTTCTGTCATTGCATTCTGCAATACCTAAATGCATCTGTAATATGGCCACTTCTCCCCAGCCCCAGTGCCTCTATCTCTTGCTTAACAAAAAGAGCCATCCTCTGGCAGGCGCCGGCTCATACAGTCCTTAACAATGCATTTGCATTCTCAGAAGTTTTATTTTTTTTTAAACTTCTAGTGTTTTCTTGACAATCCAGAGAAAACTTCAAACTTCTGCTAGAAGTCTTCAGAAACAGCTGCTTCTGTCTGTCTCTGAGATCTCATGTTCTCCCAAAACACACTCCCTGATCAGACACAGTCACCTCCTGAAGACCCAAATGGCTCCTTTCTACAACCCAGTTCTGCTGTTTAAGAGACTCCCACAGTCTCCACGCCAGAATGGTACTGCAATCTAGAAAGTGCTCAATAAATACACTCTTCACAGTAAGCTGACATTTCTTCCAACATGACTATTCTAACTATGGTAGAACAGTTAGTATATTGATATATCATGTATTAAGAAAATAGAATTTTAGTCACACCTCAAGTATTTAATTAGGAAAAAAATTCTTTTCTAAAGCACCTCTGAAATAGAAACATGACTTCGGAGGGATAACAAGTGTCTCTTTCCCAACAGAGAAAAAAAAATTACGACATTGTAAAAGCTAGACTGAATGCCACCAGGTAAAGAGTGAGCACAAATTTAGATACCTAAATCCAAGTAAAGAGAGAGTGATGAGACAGGGAGTCTTTATTCTCCTAGACGTTTTCCTCACAGACACTTCTCCTGTGTCGTCCTTCTACCTTTGGACAGCTGCGAGACTACATCTGTAACTATAAACATATATACTGTACTTTTGCTATGGATTGAGTTACACCTCCCTAAATATAGATGCTAACCTCTAACCCCTCTGTACCTCAGAAGAGAATTTATTTGCAAACAGGATCATTGCATAAGCAATAGATTAAGGTGAAAACATACTAGTAAGTAAAGCAGGCCCCTAATCCAGGATGACTGATGTCCAGGTGTATTTGTATTTATCCACATGTCAGATGAGCCTGCTCCCTCATCTTCTTGACCAGGACCTCAGATTCCAGGCTGATCAATGCATCCTCTAGACACAGCCTTGAAGGTTCTGTTCATGATACTCCTAAAACTTAGAACCAGAAGAAGAAGACCCTCCCTGAATTGACCAACTCATCCCAGCCAGCCACATTGTCTAACGGCTCCTCAGAGGACTGTTCCTGAGTCCTGCTTTCTCAGCTCTAACACTTGCTGAAATCTCCTGGTGCCTCTCACCCAAAATGACACAAATACACATCAACCGTAGAATAGTGACAGCAAGCATGTACGTTTCTCCTCTGTGCCCCGCAGGATAGGGGAACCAGAGAGGTGGACCCATGAGATCAGTAATTCACGAAATATTTTGCAAAAACTTAGAAATGTTCACCCTTTGATTCCGAAAAATTAGAAAGAAAAAGAGAAACTTACCAGGAACCTGATTTGTTCAGTGCCACATTGGTCAATGGCAGGATGTGTGCTCTAAGGACCTGCAATAGAAGAAAACATCATTCATTCCAGATTCTCATCAAATTAAGTTTCTTCATTTTTGCCTTCAATGTATTTTTGGGGGTCTTCTTTGAGACAGGGCCTCCCAGTAGCCCCAGCTGGCCTGGAACTCACTATGTAGACCAGGTTGGCCTTGAACTCACAGAGATTCACCTGCCTCTGCTTCCCTAGTGCTGAGATTAAAGGCGTGCGCCACCATGCCCTCAATGTATTTTTAACTATGCTCCATTTCAACAAAATGCACATTTGGAAGCTGCAGATAACTACAAAGTGGAATTGGCTCTGTGCTTTTCATCAGTACCAATTTGCCTTAAGATAAATTACAGCTATGAAATAGACACCAAATAGCATCCATTTGTAACATGTTTTGTGTATGTCACACGTAGTTTTGAATGGATGAACAGTATATAGCACAAGAAATACGTTAAATATGTTTCAACACAGTTTTAAATTTATTTTATGTGTATGAGTGTTTGCTTGCATGTATCTAAGTACACCCATGTTGTGCAATGTCCAAGGAGATCAGAAGATGGCATCTGATCCCCTGGAACTGGAGTTACTGAGAGTTGTTAACTGTTGGGAACTGAACCCAGGTCCTCTGTGAGA